TATATATAAAGAAAGAAAAATAAGTGTAGTATTATGTCTTCAATCCGATTGGAGTGAATTTATGATACTAGATACAAAATAAATTTTGTTGGCACATATTGTTTTTTTTGGCGATATACATACTTTAGAGTGATTTCAGTGTTGTAATCAAAAATAAATTGTGACTACCAATAATTTTTGCACTACATCAATCTATCACCAGTTGGTAGATTTTTTTATAGTAAACTACCAATAGCCGCTTAGAAGCTACTGGTAGTGGAGTACCAAATAGCTCCCTAGAAGCTATTGGTAGTTTATTTAAATTATATAATTTTTTATGCTGGAATGTTTGCAAACAGTAGGCTAACTGGAAACTGAAGTTGTAAGAATCAAGAACCGTACATCAGTATCAGTACTAGTACTTTTAAACCATTGGTAATGGAAAGCCTTGAGTAATAAATTAGTCATGTGCAAAAGTTGAATTTTAAAATATTTTTTTATACTTAAGTACCTATTGATCTCTATCATTTCATGTGACATCTCACCATAATTTTCCTCCCACTTTCAATACCAAAATGAGACCAAAATGATCGACTGGGGAGGGAAGGCCCATCCCCCCACTTTAAAAACCAAATAAGAAACAAAGAAATCCCTCCCCAGAACCCCTTCCTGCACTTTCAAAAATATAAAAATAAGAAAACAAAAACTTGCATTAAATGAACACAAACGTAAATGAAAATGTAGAAATCTTTTGAATATGTCACTGTAGACGGAAGTTGACCTGGGAGAATCCCATTGACCTGTATACTGTGGAACACTTCGCCCGCCTTATAGCTAACTGAAAATTAGCCCATGGGGACTATGCAGATAGCCTGCCAGTACTATCTGTGCAGTGAAAGCTTTCCTTCACAGGGGAAATACATTGTTTTGGGTCCTAGTAGGATTTAAGTTGATTCTGCTTTCCTTGCAGTGGGCTTTCTTTGGGTATGAGCGGTGCGCTTATTCTCTGAGGATTAGTGCTCCAACAGTGAGTCTGCCATGCCAGCTTGCATGGTCGATAGCAATTGTCTCCCACGAAGCAAGGTTAATGTCCATGGATTCGAGTGACGCTTTAAACAGTCCTTGAAGCATTTTTTCTGCCCACTTGCTGAGCGTTTCCCATTGGAGAGTTCACTAAAGATTAGTCATTTGGGAAGTCTGTTGTTTGGCATTCTTGCAACATGCCCTGCCCATCTGGCTTGTCTTATGTGTTGTCTTGTTGATGTGACTAACTATAACATAATTTAATAAATGTATTAATGCCAACTTTCTACCTGTACTTACTCTTAGCAACTTTATTAAATTATGAAAGCCCTATCCCTTGTTGGTGACAATCTTCTGTTATCTCCTCACTCAAGGCTTACTAAGTCATCAATCTGCAATTATAATATATTATATAAAAGTAGATACCCTTTTACCATTAGTTTTGTTAACACCAAAAAAAAAAAAAAAACACACCAAAAGAGGACAGCTCCATACTGCTTGATAGGAACAAATCAAACAAACAAATGAATTTATGTATTTTAATGCAAATCTTTGAGTTCTAATGTAAACTTAATTAATATTGGTTTTATTGTTCATCTTTTGCATACTTAAATGACCAATGCTTTGATTTGAGTAGTAGCCTTGACTTGAGCAGTAGCCTTGACTTGAGCATTAATTTGTTTAAAGTGATGGCGAGTTGCTCAATCTTCAGCCTCACTCTCTCGTCCTTGCCTATTTGTTCCAATGGCAAGACTTAGTCAAGGCGATTGGAAATAGACCAGGATGCAGTGGATGATTAGCAGTGTTTCTTGTGTCTCACTGTGCTCTTATGCATTCCCTGTCACAGGAGTTGTCAGAATTTTCATTTTGTCAATGTCATAGCGCCTACGGGGTCCATCTCCGGGTTTAATTTCAGAGTTTGTGATCTCTTAGAGGCATTGCCATCCAAGGTTAATGAGTCCAATTCACCCGGGGTGCTTAGATTGTTTTTGCTTGTTCAGGCTTTTTGCTGGAGATTGAACTCCAGTCCACAAACTTGGGATTGATGCAGTTTATTTAAACCACTTGGCGCCCCAAATATTGGTTTTAAGCAAAGTGTGATGTGTCCACGCCCTATTGGACAGAGATCAATGTTCCATAACGGGCCTAAGCATATTTTAAAGTCGAATGTATTTAAACAGTTAAGTCATATGGATGTATTTAATTTTTTTAGATGTTTTTTTTATACTTTTACCAGTGAAAACAGCAGAACCAATACTGATGTCCATTATTTTTAAGGAAAGGTGGTGAGAGGAAAGTAATGTCACAACCAGCAAATGTAGAAACTTTTTTTTATCCCTAAGATATGCATCATGAAATGTCCACAGGCTTCACTAGTCCCCTTTTTTCCCCACTGAGTCTCAAGTGCAAGTATTGCACTGCAGTTACAAACACTTTGAGCAAACTTAAGTGTAATAAATCTGATCTGAAGACTATGACATGTTTGCAGAAGGATGGTAATAAGCAATGTCATAAATATTGTGCTTGTGTCATTAAACAATGACAAATTGAGCCCAGGGCTATCCACACTACATCCAGAGCTATCCACATTAGACCCAGGGCTATCTACATTAGACCCAGGGCTATCCCCATTAGACCCAGGGCTATCCACATTAGACCCAAGGCTATCCCCATTAGACCCAGAGCTATCCTCATTAGACCCAGGGCTATCCTCATTAGACCCAGGGCTATCCTCATTTGATCCAGGGCTATCCTCATTAGACCCAGAGCTATCCTCATTAGACCCAGGGCTGTCCCCATTAGACCCAGGGCTATCCTCATTACACCCAGGGCTATCCTCATTACACCCAGGGCTATCCACATTACACCCAGGGCTATCCTCATTACACCCAGTGCTATCCTCATTTGATCCAGGGCTATCCTCATTTGATCCAGGGCTATCCTCATTAGACCCAGGGCTGTCCCCATTAGACCCAGGGCTATCCTCATTTGATCCAGGGCTATCCTCATTAGACCCAGGGCTGTCCCCATTAGACCCAGGGCTATCCACATTACACCCAGGGCTATCCTCATTACACCCAGGGCTATCCACATTACACCCAGGGCTATCCTCATTACACCCAGGGCTATCCACATTACACCCAGGACTATCCACATTACACCCAGGACTATCCACATTACACCCAGGGCTATCCCCATTACATCCAGGGCTATCCACATTACACCCAGGGCTATCCTCATTAGACCCAGGACAATCCACATTACACCCAGGACTATCCACATTACACCCAGGGCTATCCTCATTACACCCAGGGCTATCCTCATTAGAAACAGGGCTATCCTCATTACACCCAGGGCTATCCTCATTAGACCCAAGGCTATCCCCATTAGACCCAGAGCTATCCTCATTAGACCCAGGGCTATCCTCATTAGACCCAGGGCTATCCTCATTAGACCCAGGGATATCCTCATTACACCCAGGGCTATCCTCATTAGACCCAGGGCTATCTTCATTACACCCAGGACTATCCACATTACACCCAGGGCTATCCACATTACACCCAGGGCTATCCTCATTACACCCAGGGCTATCCTCATTACACCCAGGGCTATCCTCATTACACCCAGGGCTATCCTCATTACACCCAGGGCTATCCTCATTACACCCAGGACTATCCACATTACACCCAGGGCTATTCTCATTAGACCCAGGGCTATCCTCATTACACCCAGGGCTATCCTCATTAGACCCAGGACTATCCACATTACACCCAGGGCTATCCACATTACACCCAGGGCTATCCTCATTACACCCGGGGCTATCCACATTACACCCAGGACTATCCACATTACACCCAGGGCTATCCACATTACACCCAGGGCTATCCCCATTACACCCAGGTCTATCCACATTAGACCCAAGGCCTACTTCACGTCACATGTTAAATACATAATCTTATTGTTTTAAAAACATCCAAAGCTTATGGCTAGGCACCAAAATGTCTTAATGCGTGAAGTCATTAAGACTAGAGTACTATTAAATATTAAAAATAAAACCTGATTTTTTAAATTTTTGTCAGGGGTTATGCTGAGATTTGATGAACAGGTGCCAGCACTAGCGTCACTAGGGGGGGTTGCTGGCCACACCGGGTGACACCCAGCATTGACAAGTCAATAAAATACAATTTACAGACACATATTCTAAATCTCTAATTTTTTTGGACAAGCTTAAATTTTTAAATTCTGAAAAATGGGGATGACCCCTACCCTAGTGACACATCTGGGTAAATTAAGTAATATTTATACAGTACTTATTCCTAATATCACAATCTGAAAGAAACAATTACGCCAATAGCTTGTGTGCATTTGTTTATAAAATATTTAAGAAAACTATTGCTTTTAAATTCTGAGGAGAAAATCGTAAAACTTCAACCTTAAGTTGTTTTTTTTAAGTCCAATAATGGCTTGTCTGGCTTCATTTAGTTTTGAAGCTTTTTAAAAAAATAAATGGTATCTTTTTATATGAGGAAAATCTCTATGGTATTTTTCTTTATCTGCTTGTATTCCATTGTTTTCTCGTATCTAGTAACTTAGAAAAATTAAATTTTTTGGGGTAAACAATTAAAAGATGAGATTTATATATTCAAAGCATTACTTAACAACATTTACAGAGAAATTTTATGGAAATATATATTCTGTCCTATTAAACTTTTCTTTATTTGGCATATGAACTATTTACAAAAAAATACTTTTCACTCATAAGATTTCTGACAAGAAAAAAAACAGCATTTTAATTTTTAAAATTTTAACTTCATTGTTCCATATACAAAATTTAAAAGATAACCTTTTATGGCTGTTCGCTTTTATATTTTTAAGTCTTAAGTAATTATGTGGCCCATTAGCTTAACTAATTAATCATGCAATCGAACAACATATAATATTTATGTTAACACTGTAAAATACTATAACAAATAATAAGTATTCATTTCTTACCTTAGGTTTCCCTATGCTTCAGACATTTAAATGTTAAAAATGTCAGAGATTGAACTACCTCAACACTACTTTCCAGTGCCTGTGTGTCCACATGTTGGGCCAGGTCCTAATCGACTCATGTTCGCAGACTATGGGTCTTATCAAAATATTAATGTGAAAATCAACGCAGAAGATTCTGGAGAAAAAATTTCATTCTTACCTCAGAAGGGACAGGGATTTTTACAAAACTTTCATAGTCTTTTACCATCCTTGCCATTGTTTGATCGTCCACTCCAAGGTAATCTTAAACTCCACAAATGTTTACCCTGTATGCAAAAGTTTCAAGTTTTTCATCTTGGCTAAAGATGTTTGATATTGGTAATTAGATATATCTTTAGCAATATCTTATCGCTTAATTTTATTTTTATACAAATAACTAACAATGAGCCCATTTACGCACCTCTGTTATGAGTCATTCATGTTTGCTGCCATGCATTGAATGCTAAAAGGGCTTCTGAAATTCATGAAAAAAATAATATCTTTACAGTATATTTCAATACTTGAAAGAATCCCCTAATTTCATATCCATTTAAATATAATAGTAAAATGAATGTCTTTAAGCCCTTTTATTGGCAATGTTAATTATCTTTAACATCTAATTTAGAAAAACTTATTTTTGATTCCTATTGTGTTCATTTTTTTGACGTCACATAGAAGGGTCAGGAACTTGTGTCCCGGTGACATTTGTTTGGTACATTTGATGACAATATAAACGGAAGTTTATTGTCGGGGACTTTTCATGTTGCTTTTATTTTGTAAAACAGGTGAATGGCAGGAGTGGGATGCAATACTGGGAATGAAAAGTTTCAATGCCATTCTTAAGGACCTTAGGTGTGTGGTTCAGACTGTGCCACGGTTTAAAGGTTTTATACGAAACAAACCAGATGTAAGATATAACAAAAAAATTAGCAATAGTTCCATAATAGAAAACATAATTTTCTATTTAGCATTCCTTGTTTTTAAAGCAGATGATTAGTATGTGATCTTGTCTTCAAAGTTAAATTTGAAGTTCAGAAATGTCATTTTAATATGTTGAAAGGGGATGAAAAATTAATTTGAATATTTCCGTGTCTTTAACTATGTTTTGCTTAAATTAATTATTTTTTTTAGTTTGAGATATTCTCAGAAGTTAACGACAAATACCTCAATCATGGTTTATCAAATTTTTAACTTCTTTCACTTTGTTTGCTGAAAGTAAATGTCACAGTCCTAAATCTTTTTACAGAGTAAATTATCCCACAAGTTCAAGGTGTTGAAAGAAATGGTGATGAATCCAGATGTGGTATCCTCAGATCTTGACAAAGGCCTTCAAAATCTTGTCTCAAGCTACAGTCACATTACTGATGCGAACAATAATAATGTGAGTGTATTCATATCATATTGTAGAAAAAAAATTTTTCTGGTTAATGTTAAATGTTTGTTACAATAACGTCCAATGCTTTCCAGCTGGGCAGCTTAAAAGGTGAGCAGGTTGGGACTGTATACAATTTTGGTATATTTATTAATAAACTGAAATGGGATGAATACTGGGCATGTAGTATTCTTAAAATCTTTTTCATATGCTTAAAATTGTTTTGTCACAAAGAAGCAAGTTTTTAAAAAATGTTTAATTTCAAAGTATTAATACATAATTAAATCCATTTGAGTAATCATGGATTTTGATGAAAATAATTGCATTTTTTTCTTTTCGAAAATAATTGCATTTTTTTCTTTTCTTTTCTGGTAGTGTCTGAATGGCTTCAATAGGGATTTCTATGGGGGTTTATTAAATATTTCAAGAGCTGTTGGCACAGACAGCCACTTTTTGATACATGCCTCTGGGAAAGGCTTTAAAGACATATGTATCCTTTATTATTGTTTATGTCTTTTAAAACATCTTAATGTCATTGTATGGATAACTCTAAACTTCAGTTTGCCCTTGCATTTAAAGAAACATTCCAGTGTTGTCTGTTCTTTGTGCTCATTGACACAGAATATATAGCATAGTTAACTATTTAGTTAATCCTTGAGCCATTGTTTTGATAACTTATAGGGCAGGCCTTGAAAACCAGTCTACAATCATGGTATTGATAACTTAAAGGGCAGGTCTTGACAACCAGTCTACAATCATGGTATTGATAACTTATAGGATAGGTCTTGACAACCAGTCTACAATCATGGTATGATAACTTATAGGGTAGGTCTTGACAACCAGTCTACAATCATGGTATTGATAACTTATAGGGTAGGTCTTGACCACCAGTCTTTAATTTCCCTTAACACATGGACAAGTTTGGACCAATGTGTCTCAAGATCCAATGACCAGGTTAAAAAATCCTGAAATCATTTCCAAACTATCCTTGGATACACAAGTCTATGGACTCTCAACCTCTAACAAGATAGCAGGAAAAAGTAAGACAATTTTAAAGGTTTTAATTAAGAGCTGTAGCTATAGTTGAAGATAGGAGCACATGCTGTAATTATAGTTGACGATAGGAGCACATGCTGTAGTTATAGTTGACGATAGGAGCACATGCTTTAGTTATAATTGAAGATAGCACATGCTATAGTTATAGTGACCCTGAAGCCATGTTTCGAAAGAAAATATGCATCATTTAGATATTATTTCTGGATATAGTGAAAAATAAGACTGAGACAGGTTAACTTAAACTATTCTCCGGGAATCTTTTTTTTTTTAAACATGAAGCTTTTTCTATTATTAATGAGATGCTGAATAGGAGGGGAAAAAACATGTCCTAATTAATAGCCAATAGGAACCGAAATGTTACTTTTATTGTTGCAGGGCCAACTTTTAGGTGCAATTTCAGGCTCTCTATTATATCCCTTGCTATTAAGAGGGCATCTTTTAGACATTTTTTATTATATTAGAAGTATATTTTGTTGTTTTTTGGGGTCAGAAAATGTTTATGTACTGTATGAATTATTACAATTACAACATAACTTGGCTTTGAGGATCACACATAACATAATACTTTTTTTTTCAAGTGTTGGTAAGTGCTAGGAATAAACACAGTTGCCTTCTGCTGGTGGCTGATGTTTTAGAGAGGACATTACTACAGCGAGATTTCTTTGACTTACCTGATGATAGCCTCTCGCATACCTGGTTTAGGTTAGTAGACCACTTTTAGGTTTAAGAATCATTTTATTAGTATATGAGTGCATGTTTTCATTAGAGTTAGAGTATATACCATTTTTAAAACTTATTTTTAATAACATGTTTAAGAAGATTAACTTTCAAGCATTGATTCATACATTTGTACAGATTTTATAAATATAAAAACAGTAATCCTCTGCCATTCTCCATTAAAGCAAATATATAGATTTTTTAACATTTATATTTCTTCTTCTTCTTCTATATCTTAAGGGCCCACGATCAATTTATTGATCATTTTGGCTCCTATGCATGTAGATGGGATTTGCAATGTATCTGTTACTGGTGTTGATGAGGAAATTATGCACTAGGGGTTTGAAGGCTTGAGGCAATAGACACAAATGTGTCTAGTGTTGTCGCCTCAACTGTTCCTTTTGAAAGATGGTTCCAGTCCCTTCAGAGCAATAATAGATTTTTGTGTTTATGTATAAACAACATTACAAGACCAAGATAACAAAAAAAAGTGTTTATAATTTTCTCTTTGCAGCCCTTACATGGAAAATGAACTGTTATTATCTACTGAAAGTGGAACAATTTATCTTTGGGATATAAACTCTGGGTAAGACTTTACTTTTAAGAAATTGTTGTGTTCCCGTGTTGCTTCTTTCATTTTATGCAAATTGACTTATTGTGTTTTTCAAAAAGCCACTCAATTGGCTGAAATTAGCTGAAATAGATAGAATTGGATAATTTTCATTAAAAGTATATCTTGATTATTAACTTGAACTTAATTACTCGCTTAGATACCATTATGTCTTACAGCATGGGAAATAGTCAAACTTGGCTGTCTTGTCTCACAGAAGAAAAGAAAATTATGCACCTACGTACCATTTCTAATTTTTAAAAGCATCTTATATCTCATCTGTTCACATTAGTATTAAGTTACACCACACAAAATTGATTTAATTTTCAATGTGTTACCAGTGGTGTTGTCCTAAGCTTATCCAGGTGTTCACTGGGAAAAGTTTTAAATATAACATACATTAGTTTGGGTAGGATTATAATACAGCCTTCCCGAGACACTAAAACTATGTATATAATTTAAGAAAACAAGTCATATGTTTCATTCAGTTAAATAAATTGTGTATAGATTTTATAGTTACTAAAAAAAAAAAATTCCGCCTTTTTTTTTAATAATTAAATTATACTAAAGATACCCTGTAATCTTGACCAATGTTAATAAATACCCTGTAATCTTGACCAATGTTAATAAATACCCTGAACCCTTGACCAATGTTGACATGGATTCCAAAGCTTTATTCAGTCCTTAAGTTTAATAGTTAGAAAGTCAATGTTATTTTATTTTTTTTAAAGTAAAAAGGATAATGGCAGGCTCAAAGGTATGACCCAAATCATTGGACTTCCCTTGATGTATTCTGAATCAGCAGTAAACTATAGAAAGATAAATGTATTTTAAATGGAAAAAAAACCAACTTATAGGCAAACTTTTTAGATGAGGACAAAGTTCCCAATAAAAATTGTAGAATATCTTGACTTTAAATCTTTATTTCTTGTCCGTTGTGGAAACAGTGTCATCACACATTTATATTTTGCTTGGAACTTTAAATGGCATTAGGTTGGTTTGTCTGTCAGCAGCTAAGATAAAAAGTCTGGGAATACATATATTACTTTCTGTAGTTGAATTGTTGGACTACTGGTGATCTAATTTTAGATGCAAAGTACTGGTGGAGAAAGCAGCCCGCTTTGAGTGCAAAGACAAATGGTCCAGTGCCTATTTTGGAGGTCATCCCAGACAAATTGTGGTTGCTGACAACACTTCACTTGAAATTTTTGACCACAGGGTAATACAAAAAAAAAATCATGTTGTATTTTATTTCTGATCCAAGATTGGACTCAATTCATGAGTTGAATTTATCATGCATGTTCTCAAAGAGTACTACAATCACTATTTCTGTAATTAGGCAATACAAAATGTTACTAGCAATCTTAAATTAACCTAAAGTCATAACCTCATTAAAATATCTGCAAATGTCTTATTGTTGCCTTCATACCAATGAGTTTGAATAATTTTCTCTTTTAAAACACTTAAGTCCATCACACTTGTTTTTACTCCTCCTTTCCCCTGTAGATTATTTTTCATGGAAAAGTACAAGCACTCAAACACAAAATTGTTAAAGCATTGATCCCTTTAATTTCTGTTTCAGTCTCACTTCTCTGATGGTCAAGAGTTATTTTCCTTGTCCAGCCACCTCATCAAGACCAATGAGAGGGTTATGGCGGCAGCCCCCTTGGGATTTCCTTACCATGTGGTGGCCACAGATTACACTCTTTTTGTAATGGACCAACGCTTTGGCTCCAGTCCAGTGAGTAACCTCAATCAACAGTTGCCTCACCCTGTTACAAGAGCAGTACTTAATTAATAGGTCAAATGAAGATGCTACAACTTTTCACTGTTGCCCTACGGGCTATCATGGGCATAAATTGATACATTTATTATTTTTACATGGCATCCGTCCATTACAGCGTGACGATGGTGTAAATTTCAAAGGAAGATATCACAAGGCCTGGAACTTTTCTTTAGGGGGTTAAGCTAGTTCACTAGTAAGCTAATCACCTCGCTCCACCCATCTGGATAACCACAGCAACATCATGTGGGGATGATACAGCTTAGCACCAGTAGTGTCGCAGGAGTTGCCGGAATATTCATTGTGTCCATGTCATACCACCTACAGGACTCCATAACTGGGTTTAAGCTCAAGTTTGAGTCCCAATATGAAGCGGGGGGCGCAGGTGATGTTTTTGCCTGTCTAGCTTTAGCTGGAGATTAAACTTGGGATTTTGGGATAGACTTATTTTAAACCACTTTGATACCCAGCACCCACCTTACAATCAGTGAGTTGTTAGTGGAGATTTGTTAATGGAGAGTTGTTAGTGGAGAGTTGTTAGTGGAGAGTAGTTAGTGGAGAGTTGTTAGTGGAGAGTTGTTAGTGGAGAGTTGTTAGTGGAGTTGTTAGTGGAGAGTAGTTAGCGGAGAGTTGTTAGTGGAGAGTAGTTAGTGGAGAGGATTGAGCTCAAGCTTCTCACGGGACAGCTTTGTTGATCAGAGCAATGTTGCTTATATGCCAAAAGCTTTCTTATATAGGGAGCTGTTCAAAGAGTAATGAAACATAATAGCGTCCAGAAATCATTTTTAAAGACCAACTCAAGCATCAGCTGACCTAGAGGAAAGCACCTGGGACCTTAAGGCCCGTGACAGGGACAGTTGGGGATCTTTAACGAAAACTGTCTCAAAGAAGCAAATGAGGAGAAAGATCGAGAAAGGAGGCTGTTGACCAGCCACCAGTGGACAATGGCTTTGACTGCTCCGTTAGCTATAGAATCTGTAAGTCCAGAATTGGGCTTCATAGTCACCTCAGGCATTCAAAGAACTTCAGACCCAATGATCTTCAGACCCACTGATCTTCAGATCAAATGATCTTCTGATCCAATGGTCTTTGGATCCAATGATCTTCGGACCAAATGATCTTCAGATCCAATGATTTTCAGATCCAATGATCTTCAGACCCAATGATCTTCAGATCCAATGTTGTTGTATACAATGATTTAAGAAAATGATTTTCTAATAGATGAAATACTTTCTTGTTTTGTTTCAGGTGTTGCAGTGGAGCACCGAGTTCAAAGCATGTCCCCAGTATTTACAGGTCATTGATCAAAGCGACAGAGAGAATAACACAGGTGGGACTTTTTCTCTAGCTATTCATGAACTAATCAGTCTACAAATGATATTAAATACCTTCACACCATGCACATCACAGAATTATTACTTATGCCCATGGAAATGAATCGTAAATATTAATTTTAAAAAATTGTCATTTTATGCAATCGTTTTTCAGATTATGTTGGTTAATAGTAAGTGGAAGGGCTTACCATTGATGTTAAATGCTGGGGTGTCAGAGACATGACAACATTTTTTCTTTGATAACTCCATCTTTGACTAATTGGAATTGTAAGCTTGATTTATTTATGGTTTAAAATAAAAATGATTGAATTGATAAAAAAAAAATGTTTTCCTGTTGGTTACCTTTCACAAGCTTAAAGTGTTGGTTACCTTTCACAAGCTTGGAGTGTTGGTTACCTTTCACAAACTTGGAGTGTTGGTTACCTTTCACAAACTTGGAGTGTTGGTTACCTTTCGCAAACTTGGAGTGTTGGTTACCTTTCACAAACTTGGAGTGTTGGTTACCTTTCACAAACTTGGAGTGTTGGTTACCTTTCGCAAACTTGGAGTGTTGGTTACCTTTCACAAGCTTGGAGTGTTGGTTACCTTTCACAAACTTGGAGTGTTGGTTACCTTTCACAAACTTGGAGTGTTGGTTACCTTTCACAAACTTGGAGTGTTGGTTACCTTTCACAAACTTGGAGTGTTGGTTACCTTTCACAAACTTGGAGTATTGGTTACCTTTCACAAGCTTGGAGTGTTGGTTACCTTTCACAAACTTGGAGTGTTGGTTACCTTTCACAAACTTGGAGTGTTGGTTACCTTTCACAAACTTGGAGTGTTTGGTTACCTTTCACAAACTTGGAGTATTGGTTACCTTTCACAAACTTGGAGTGTTGGTTACCTTTCACAAGCTTGGAGTGTTGGTTACCTTGCAGTGTGAAAGAATTATAGGCCAACAAGTATTTTATTCTGCAGGTAAACTCATCTTTTTAGCATCACAACAACCAGCAGAGGTGATGTGCTTTCAGCTGGATGTGACCAGCGGACAGTCTCCAACTTCCAGCCTTCTACCCTGGAAAGTCTCTCCTATTGGGTAAGTCAAATTTAATTTCTCAGTTTATGTCAGGTGATTATGTTGTCTTCACGTCTTTCCTGAGTTAGAAAGGATGAAAGGAACGATGTTCCGCAACATGGTACTTTATAAAATGGATTTCTTTTGCTTAAAGTTTCGTCATCAAAGTTAATAAGAACCTTGCACAGTTTAGACCTGACACCAACTCACCAACCATAATGATAATATTATAATAAATGTTATTGGATTAGCCAAATGACTCGGGAGCTCATAGAAAATTGTTCATAATATTGAAAGAGTATTTCACTGGCACTTACTTCATGAACATAAATATAGGCATGTCTATTTATTTTAAGAGAGTTCAGTGAGCGCGTCCACACCAACTACGTCACTGACCCGTCAAGCAGTGACAGGTTTCAGGCCTCTCTCGCAGGTATGGCTGTCAGTCAACAGTCAAGATCAGATGGCTTTTCCGTGTATCAGGTATTTTGTTGATATTTTATGCAACACTCTGTATAATAATAGCATACAGATTGTTTACAGCTGAAAAGTCACATTGGCACTTGAACCCCTTATAAGATGTAAGCGAATACAAATAAAGCAATTCAAATTGAGATGTTCAATGATGGAAACTCATGTTTCAATGCACCTACAAGTCATGTATGGCCAATATTTCTGTATAATGAATAGAACTCACAAAAATTAGTTATTCTTGAGCTAAACATGACATGGAAGATAAATTCTTATTGACGTTACTGACCCCAGAACTAAAAAAAAACTAGAAATTTCATGGACAGAAGCAAATGTTACCATTAAAAAAAAATAGTACAGTGGAACCTCTCATAACAAGCACCTCTGATAATGAGTAATTCGTATAATGAGCAAAAACAATTTTTAAGAAGTTGCTCCCTTAACGAGCGACATTTTGCATAACGAGTTGCAGAAAGGGGAAGTCTCTTATTCCCGAAATTCATTTGTGAGCGGGGACTTCCGTGCCGATGCATTAATCTGTGTTTAGCACTCGGTCTGTTAGCGTATTGTTTTCGTGTGTGATCACCAGTTTTTACAAATTTTGTGTTCAGACAGTATTCGTAATTTTTTTATGTGCAAAGTGTAATAACCTTTGCTAAAATGTCTTCAAACAAAAAAACACAAGAAGACAATCATAAGAGAGAAAAAATAACTATTGAAGTGAAAGGTAAAATCATTGAAAAGCGAGAACAATGTGTGAGCGTGGCTAAGCTAGCGCGCACATACAATCGGTCAACATCAACGATCTGCACTATTCTCAAGAACAAAAACAAAACTAAGGAGATGGATGCTTCAAAGGGAGTGTCAAGAATGTCTTTGAAACGGTTACGTATTCTTTATGATGTTGAGAGGTTGCTTCTAATATGGATAAAAGAGAAGCGATTACAAGACGGCACTATTAAAGAAAAAATTATTTGTGAGAAGGCGAAACTTATTTTTTCTGACCTCGTTAAGAAAACACTAGGATCATTTACTGCCGAAAAAGAACTACAATTCAAGGGAATTCATGGATGGTTCGAGAAGTTTAAGAGAAGAACCGGCATCCATAACATTGTGAGGAACAGTGAAGCAGCAAGCTCTGGCACAAAAGCAGCAGAGAACTTCATCAGTGACTTCAAGAAGCTCATAGATCTCTGGGGATTACCTGCCGCACCAAGTTTTTAATAGTGACGAGACGGGTCTCTTCTGGAAAACATGCCAAAGCGAACCTATATAACAGCAGAAGAGAATGCATTGCCAGGCCACAAGCCAATGAAAGACTGCCTTGCGCTGCTATTTGTGCCAATGCAAGCGAGGATTAGAAAATTAAACCGCTGCTTGTTTACCATTCAGAAACTCCAAGAGCCTTTAAGAAGTGTAATGTCCAGAAGAGCAGACTAAATGTGATGTGGAGATCCAACAAGAAGGCCTAGGTGACACGTGACATTTTCACTGATTGGATCAATGAAGTGTTTGGTCCTTCCGTAAAAAAATATTTGCTTGAGATGAATCTTCCTCTCCATGTCTCGCTTGTTATGGACAATGCACCCGCCCATCCTCCAACAAGATGATATTCATGAAGAATTTTATTTCATCAATATCCAGTTTCTGCCTCCCAACACCACTCTGTTACTCCAGCCTATGGACCAGCAGGTTATTTCTAACTTTAAAAAACTCTACACTAAAACACTCTTCGAGTGTTGTTTTGAAGTTACTGAAGAGACAAATCTCATTCTTAGAGAGTTTTGGAAAGATCATTTTCACATCGTTACTTGCCTCAAGATGATTGACAAGGCTTGAGAAGGAGTTACCAAGAGAACCCTCACTTCTGCTTGGAAAAAAATTTGGCCACAGAGTGTTGTTGAATGTGATTTTGAAACAGTACCTGTGGAGTCTACAGTTAACGAGATTGTGTCATTGGCCAATATCATGGGACTCGAGGTGGACAACAACGATATTGAAGAGCTTGTGAAATAGCGCAGTCAAGAGTTGACCACCGAAGAGCTTATGGAGTTGCATCGTGTTTCACAGCAAGAAATTAAGGAGGAGAGCTCATTAAGGGAGGAGGAAGTAGCAGAGCAACAATCTTCTAGCGCAATAAGAGAAATGCTGAAAGCATGGGAAACTGTTGCATCGTACATTGAGAAGCATCACCTACGTGCTACAAATTTATTCAATGATAATGCTGTGACACATTTTTGTCAAATTTTGAAGCGTCGGCAAAAACAAATGTCTTTAGACAGTTTTCTAGTTTAAAAGGAATAATTATTTGTCATAAATTCATATTTTTATTTACGTTTTTTGTTTCAAGTCTAAATTGTATTCCAAGTTATTACACTCCTAACAATTCATAAGTAATTTTCTCTGAATAAATGTTAATTAAAATTTTTGAAAAATGAGTATTTTTTCAGGATGAAACGCATTATCTTATTTTATATTGATTTGTATGGGAAAAACTGTTTAGTTTAACGAGTGTTTCGATTAACGAGTAAGATTCTAAAACCAATTATGCTCGTTATGAGAGGTTCCACTGTATTTGATTAGATAATGTATAAGTCTAGGCTTAAAAACTCACTAACTTTTTACACTGATTTAATTGACAAATGTACAAGTCTAGATCAAGTAAATCAGTTACAGTTTTAGACATTTTACTATGTTGCCGGCCTGAATAAAAATGTTCAGATTCATTTAAGCATTAGAATTATGAAATGTTTTAATATAAAATATGTTGTTTAAAAAAAATTTATTGCACGTTTTACAATTTACTTTCTCTGAAACAGATGGATTCCTATGGAGATATTTTTTATCAAACCAATGAAAGATACAAAACCATTTCAGACAGTGAAAGGAATGCCTCAAAACTGCGGTCTAGTCACTGGCTGCAACAGTTGGAGGAGATTGGAAAAAAGAGATGTGTCGTTGGGCTTGAATCTACATCCAAGCAAGTATTTCTAGGTACTACCTTACTAGGTATTTTCTATGCTATTTCAGAAGATGTTATAACGTTTTACCCCAGTCCCAAAGATAAGGGCTTCATATGTTCTCAAGGTTAAGAAATATTTCATGTTATTTGAACCCTTGTCATATTTTATTCATCTTGAAAATAATTTATTTTAGTTTTTCTATGTAGAATTGTTGTAGTAGCTTATTTCACAGGACTGAATGCGTCTTTTGAAATTAAAAGTCAAATTATGAATCAAAGTCTGTCCTGGTCCAAACAATGATTGGTCCAACTTAAACATTTTTAATTTCAATACAAAACTGATATAGCAATGAATCGATGCTTGAGAAAGGCTTATTTATGTCTATCCTCTCACTTTTTCAGACCCTAAGATTATGAAAGATGTCTTTGCCTACCCACTGCACAATCAAGATGTATCAGCTGGGGTAAGTCTGTTAAAATAGGTTTTATAATAGACTTGACAATTCCAATGAATTTTTTTTATATTTGAAAGATTTTAGCAGAAAAACTGTAGGCTTTGGTCATTTTATTTATTTATTTATTTTTTTTTTTTTTATTGAATTACACATCTTTTTGTATTTGTTTAGCAACAGAGCCAGAAGAACTCAGCATTGCATAATGCAAGAAATAAACAAATAAACAAAAGAATCACAATAAACCAATTATTGTATTCATCAAGTACCAATGAAATTTGTGTATCTAAAACATACTTTTGTTTCATATTTATACTTTTTGGTTCACTATAACCAAAAAATAATCATATTCTTTTATCCCCTTCATTCTGTTAAAATTTTCCAGAAAACTTATTTTTGCAATGGCTCAGTACAAATTGTTTTACAACCCCTACCAAATTTTCTAAAATTCTCTCAGATGAGTTGATTTCAATCAATTACCAAACCCGCATGCATTATTCTCTCAGATGAGTTGATTTCAATTAATTACCAAACCCGCATGCCATCTCTTTGAAATAAACCGTTAAACCATTTAATACACTGAATTGGGTAATAACCTAATATGATAAACTTCTTCTCTTCAGAAAAGTTCAAGAGAAGATTGTAAGACAACTTTACATAGAAATCTGAAACCTGTTGAGAGATTGCCATCCAAGGGATACAATACACAACTGCATCTAGCATTGCGTGAAAACAGAGACATTAAGGAAATATTAAAATTGAGGGTAAGGAACTCATGCTCCGGTAGAGAGTAAGTTGGGTAAGTTAAGTGTGATGTTGTTTGGGATATAATGCCCCATTAGTGTGTCAGTTGGGTCAGTTAGGTGTAATGTCTTCTAGGACATAATGCCCCAGTAGTGTGTCAGTTGGGTCAGTTAGGTGTAATGTCTTCTAGGACATAATGCCCCAGTAGTGTGTCAGTTGGGTCAGTTAGGTGTAATGTCTTCAAGGATATAATGCCCCAGCAGTGTGTCAGTTGGGTCAGTTGGGTGTATTGTCTTTAAGGATATAATGCCCCAGTAGCGTGTCAGTTGGGTCAGTTAGATGTGATGTCGTCTAGGAGATAATTCCCCAGTAGTGTGTCAGTTGGGTCAGTTAGGTGTAATGTCTTCAAGGATATAATGCCCCAGCAGTGTGTCAGTTGGGTCAGTTAGATGTGATGTTGTCTAGGATAAATCATTCTACCTTATTACACCAATCACATTTCCAACATAAGCATGTCTATATGTGCACAGATGGCAATGACACCATTTCAAGTAGTCACTTGCTGGGCTTAGTAGGAGACCAAATGAATGACACCACTATTAGAAATCAGATATCAGGCTTGGTATGGGACCAAATCAATGACACCAGTATTAGAAATCAGATGCTAGACTTGGTATGGGACCAAATCAATGACACCAGTATTAGAAATCAGATACCAGGCTTGGTATGGAACCATAAAATTTGTTACATATGGTGTGATGATAAGTGCATCTATTTGTTATAAGTTTTTGAAGGAAAATCTCCCTACCTAAACACAATACCAGTGTCTGGAAGCAAAAAAATCTCCCGTCACCAATCTAGATATTATTATTAAGAGGAGTCTTCACCTGTGCGTAATTTTTGTTATAAACAGAAGTTTCATTGTTTAATATCATGTCAGACAGAAGAATGCTCTGAGGTTTAACATCATGTCAGACAGAAGAATGCTCTGAGGTTTAACATCATGTCAGACAGAAGAATGCTCTGAGGTTTAACATCATGTCAGACAGAAGAATGCTCTGAGATCGTCTCAATTATTTTTGGTATTTTAGTTCTTTTTTTTTTTTAATCTTTTTAAAAATAATTTTTTTTTTTTTTTGTTTTTTTTCCCATTAACTTTAGGAGGCTCATGTTCAAAAGGTAAAAATGAAGTTGAGGGAGAAAACTTTAAAAGAGTTGAGAAAGAGGAAACAAAGCCACAAAAAACTTCCACTTATTATGTTTAACATCATGTCAGACAGAAGAATGCTCTGAGATCGTTTCAATTTTTTTTGGTATTTTAGTTTTTTTTTTTTTTTAATCTTTTTAAAAATAATTTTTTTTTTTTCTTGCTTTTTTTCCCATTAACTTTAGGAGGCTCATGATCAAAAGGTAAAAATGAAGTTGAGAGAGAAAACTTTAAAAGAGTTGAGAAAGAGGAAACCAAGCCACAGAAAACTTCCACTTATTAGTAAAGATAGTGATTCAGACGATAGTAGTGATGTAGATTGTCATACTGTTAAAACAAGGAGTCATTCAGATAGGGCTGATGTTGTTAGTTGTGGAGATGATCCTGACCAAATGGATATCAATCTAGAGGATTTTGTGGACCAGTTGAATATTAGCCTAATGGATTCTGACAGTTTGGATATTGACAGAATGGATATCGATCTGTTGCATGAAGATTTAGATCATAGTTTTAATTCAGTTGAAAACACGACAAAAACACTTGCGTCAGATATGCAGGTCAGAAGTTTTACCAGATCTGACGCAGCCATTGGAAAATCCAGCACATCTTTATTGTTTGCTGTCAACCAGAACAGAGTCAGGCGACTGTTACAGAAACGGCCAGACGAACATTCGGGTGCTTCCCCTGAGTTGGAGAACTCTGGGTCATCTGGTGCGCACCTCGATAGTTTATCTCTGGGAGAACTTTGGCCATCTGGTCGCCCAGTTTTCACTCAACCAACAACAACGGCAGTGCCTGTTAGAAAAAAGAGGAACAAAGTAGTGTCCCCTTCATCAGACACGTCACTTTCTGACTCTAGTTTATCTTCCACTGAAACGACTGAAGTGAAGGCATTGGCTAAAAGCTCCAGGGGAACACCAAGAAGAAGAACCACTGTACCGAATGTCTCAAAGAACATTGTTCGTAAGAGGGCGAAGAGAAAGAAAGAGTCATCAAAGGAAACGCTTCCCTCTGTGGACGGAAATGAGAAAATGATGGCAGAACTTTCACTTTTGAATATTGATGAGATGGATGAGCCTTGCAGAGTTGATCAAACTGGCCAGACTCATCTTACTTCTTCCCAGCAGGTGGCGGGACAGACACAAGCATCTGGTTTTAATTCTTTAGAATCTTATAGTAGTTCCTCATTTCTTGTTTCCCCTGGAGGCTTGCCATCCAAAAGTTCACAAACAAAAAGTTCATCGCTGTCCCTTCAAGCCATGGTTCAGAAATCTAACATTTCTCCATCTACCCAACGATTCTCCACTTACCCTGTCCAAGAAATCAAGACACCGCCATTACCTGGCCAAGAAATCAAGACACCGCCATTACCTGGCCAAGAAATCAAGACACCACCATTACCTGGCCAAGAAATCAAGACGCCGCCATTAACTGGCAAAAAAATCAAAACCCCGCCATTATCTGGTCTAGTAGAGAACACATCACCCATGGCTGATGTAGCAACACCTCCTTTACATATAGCTTCCTATGCTCTAAGCCCATCTTTGTTCTCCAATCTCAGTGGGTATGTGCCCACACCATCGAAGCTTGGTGGGGCTGTGGCCACCACACCTAATTTGAGCTGGCTCCAAGCTGGTTCCCTTGATACCATTTCTTCCTCACAGCTGCAACCCAGTTTAAACATCCTCTTGTGGTTGTCAACAAATGACCTGACATCGACATCTCCGTCCACAAACAGACTGTCGCCGGGTGATTGTTTAACATCTTCATCCACACAAAAACTAACCCCTGGTCATTGTCAACATAAAGGAATCAAATCTCCCTTGCCAGATCAGGGAGATGATAAAAACCCAATCAGACGAAAATTAACTTTCAGTGCAGTTTCTGAAGGTCAGGTGCCAACTAACACCCCCAGTGTTGTAATAAACCAGCCCAGTGCAGCAGACTGTGTGTTCTCACAGAACACTTGTCTTCAGCAGTCAGATGACAGTGACTGCTCTGACTCGATGGATTCCCTGTGTTCATCATTGCCCGCCAGCATTACAAGCGTAACTCTGGCCACACCCAAGCTGCGTCGGTTCATTGATCCGTCACTGTCAGGTTTTCTGTCCAGCCCCAGGATGCAAAGTGGTAAAAAAACAAAACAGTTGAAACCACAGACTACACCTAGGTGATGTGCAATGACCACAGTCTACACCAAGGTGACATGCAATGATAATATATTTACTTACGATATAGAATAAATGTATTTTGATAAATTTGTTTTTAATCCCTTTTGTAAACAATCACTGGTAATGTTTATTGGGCTAGCCACTGGTAATGTTTATTGGGCTATCCACTGGTAATGTTTATTGGGCTAGCCACTGGTAATGTTTATTGGGCTAGCCACTGGTAATGTTTATTGGGCTAGCCACTGGTAATGTCTACTGTGCTAGTCACTGGTAATGGTTCTATATTCATTCCACTGGGAAATTTATTGGGACATAAAAGCTTATGGAAAAGTTGGTTTTAGTTCTATAGGTTTCTATATCTCCCTGTGAATTTTCTCAGTTCCAGTAGCGCTGAATTTATAAGTTTTTTAAAGTCTCTGTTATTACTAGAAGTAGAAGGTTTGATTTTTTTTTTTTTTTAGGGTTTTAATATTGAACAAATGTCCCATGGAAATTTTTGTTTATTTCCATGGATCTCTATACCCTCCTTTTGAAATGTATCAATACCAGAGAAATACCTTTGAATAAGTTTCACGACGTTTCTAGATTATTCTAGAAGGTTTGATTTTCTTCTACGGCCGTTTAGGATTATATAAATGTCCTTATGTTTTTTGAATGCTTCTATAACATAACTTTCTATGAACTTCCTAAATGTTTTGTAATAAGATTTCATTGGAAAATTATTATGGAAGTTTCTCGAAATCTCAAAATTAATTTAAATTTCCAAATTAATTTTATCTTATAATGGCCTAAGCTATATACATAAATGAAGTTGTGGTCTCAGGTAACGGTACAGTAATACCTCTTGCATTCGCGATGTTTTTTCACAGATCTGCGAAATTTGGCATATTCTCTGAAAAACCCTGCTGATTTTTTAATGTCTTTGTGTAATTTTAAATTGATTAACTTCCTATACCCTCCACGTACAGTACATGTTTTTTTTTTAATTTTATTTAATTGTACCTTCGTTATAGGACTTGCGCGACATATGAAGTTTACCTTTCTGATAATGACAAAGAAAAGTCTGCCATTTAGTTTGCTGTCCCATTCCTTACCTGGTTTTACCTTACTGTGATGGCAGAAGATACTGTCAACCATGAATTAGTACACTATAGGGGTATCATTAGAACACTGTAGGGGTAACATTAGTATACCCTACTGTAAATGTGCTGGTGTGGCAAATAGCCATTAGGCGATACTGTACTCTATTTTTATGTCAACCATTTTTTTTTTAAAGGGTAATTTATTAAGCAAACTTTTTTAATTGAAACTAAAAGTGCTTTGAGAGCATGATTTGATTCATATTAAAGGGGCTAAACTCTAGAACTAAGCAGTTTTTAGCATTTTAATTGAGTAACTCGTACCAAACAATCGCCACGGGTTCTGGAACCTAACCTGACGAATGTTCGAGGTGTAACTGTATGCACTTCTACGTCTATTGAGGGATCTCGGCCAACGTTGGTAAACATACCCCTCATAATCCCACCGCGAAATGGGATCCCACTGGGAACTGGACCCCATCGTGGAACGGAATCCCACTGGGGTAAGAAAGTTGTACAAAAGTTGTTATAAATGTGTTTCTATAG